CACACAGTTATATTCAAATAAGCAATTCTTGAGTGACAAACATGTCACTTTGTTGATTTTACAAACTCATGCTTCATTTAGAACAAGTGATATGCATGTCATCAATTTAGTAAAAACAAAACAAAACAAAACACTTTTATCTTACTATCTACAATAAAATAACCAATTCTTCAAGAGAACAACTCAATAAAACAATGAGTCAGCATATTTTTGAAAGACCATTTTTAGAAAAAAAATGTATACTTTACCAACCCTGGTATATTATATGCATCCATCCATCCATTCTCTCTTATGTAGCTTAAACATAATACAGTTGAGCTGACATGATGAGGACGACATGATCAGTGAAAGTAAATGAAAGCAGCGCTCACCTGTCACAGTGTTCGTTTCATTCAGAGCGATGCTCGGCCGACTGCGGCTGCTGATATGTTCGCCTCTTCGCGCCGTACTTGCTTTCTCCTCTTGCTCCTCCTTCTGCAGGTCTCACGCTCACTTTGAGCAAGCCGCGTCCTCTCTCATCTTGTCAACGGGACCCCAAGCCAGGCTCCCCCGGGGCCATCGTCAGCGCGTCAACCAGTCCGCTATGTCACCTTGTTATCGAGAAATCTGGGACATTATTTATGAAATATGTCAATGGTCATGAAAAAGGCTCCGAGGATGACTTGACTCACTGGTCACTCGATTAAGTAGGCTAGCGAATGACAATAGAAAATCATTCCTTTTGATTGACAGTGTCAGAAATCTATTCATGGGTAGTAGATACAAATATGCATCTGTATTTGGGAAATGTGTTTTAATCCGATTGTTTAATTGTAAACACAGATCCACATTAATAAAAGAATGCACACATACTTCCAATCTCTAATTTTTTATTCATTTTTTCCCTCAGTTGAGTTGTACGGATTATAGGTCCCATTAATGGTGGAACCGTCATCATCCTGTCCTGTTTGCTTTGTTTTTTCAGTCTCCAGCTGGAAAGTGGGCGTTCCTTCATGAGCCGCACCTGAGACTCATCATTTAAAGTAAATCTATCACAAATAAAAGAGATTCCATTTGTGGATTCATTCCATTTTAAATTATTTTCACATTATGCTAAATATGTGTTAGATGGTTTTGAAAAAAAAATGCATCATACGCTTAAGTTACGTTTGTATTAAATCTTGGCCGTCAAATTCAAAGTGAGCATAAATTTTGCACGCTAGTGTAGTTTGCCATCCTATAAAAGTGGTTGATAAATGGCGTGCATTGACACGAACATCATCCGCCTGCGTGTAGCGCGGCGGCACTTTTGCACCAGGGAAGACTTTTCCGTCTATTTTTGTGTGTGTGTGTGCGCAGCCCGAGGCCAAGCAGCTGCTTGCATTCTGTCAACACAAGACGCGTACAATGCAAATCCAATTGACTCGCTACGCTGCAATTAGCTGTGATGTCATCCCACTATTCAGCGCAACGAACTTCACCTGCAGCCATTTGCCATGACGGTCAGCGGACTGACACAAACGAGCGTTCGTTCTCTGCGTCACGTGGACGTCTTTACGGGAAAATAACAATGCTTAAATCACCAAATTTCTGTACGTTTGTTCCTTATGATGGTAATTTTCCAAACTTTGTGATGCCCTAAAATGGGCTTTTCAATCATTTGAAAATTCAGCTCCCAAAGCTAGTTTGATTTAGCAACATGAGATTTGGTAGACGTGTCTCTCATGAGTAGACCCACAAAAAAGTCTCAAGAGCCCATGCTGGAAAAGACACAGGAAGTCAGCTATTTTGGTTCAAATTCCCATTTTGTGTCAAATTTATCATTTTCAAGGGGCTTTCAAATGTTCTGTCAAATTAGCCTCCAAAGCCAGTTTGACTACTGTAGCAACATGAAATTTGGTAGACACGATTATGATCTGTAGACGTACGAAAAAGTCTACGGTAGTCTTCATCGGAAGTCAGCCATTTTGGTTTTGAAGTGTCCATTTTGTCATTTTCAGAGGCCAGTTTGACTTGGCGACATGAAATTTGATACAGATATCTATCTCAAGTAGACAAAAAGTCTGAAGCCACTCCTGATTGGTTTTAAGTATCCCATTTTAGGTTCAATGTGGTCATGTCTGGGAGCCACCTAATAATTTTGTCCAGTTGCTCCCAAATTGGAAGCACAACTAGACAAATGTGAGATTTGGGGATTGCTCTGCGTTAACTATTAAATAATCACCTCATGCCCAAAAGCTCTTGCCAATCACTATTTTTTCACCAATGTTTGAAGGGCCATCCATTATCGTCCGAGTTCATCGGTCGTGCTTTAATTTTATATCGTCAAACTAGATGGTTCACTGCAATGCCCACGATGTAACAAAATCTCTTTCAGGGAATGTGAAAGAACGATTTCCAACAGAGACAGGCCGTGCCGTCACAAAAGTGACATATGAGGGGATGACTGATGAAGGGTAAATGCCAACTTAATGACGTGTGCGTGCATGTGCGCGCGTTTGTGTGGACTGGGGCCATGTCACAAGGCATCACGTCGCGTCTAGGCCATGGTGTTTGCTGGCATGTTGCCGGCGTCCTCTGGCAAATCTGTGGAAAAAAAAAAAATCCTAGAGGTCTGTGATGGAAATACAAGACAGAAAAAAATATCACAGCTTTACAGGAGACACATGATGAAAAATTAGTCTGTGGGAAATTTACAATTTTAACTGGACTGTGGTGTAACAGGGCTAATTTACATAATCCTAGACATTGCGGTGATAAACCAACAAGAGCAGCCCAAATTGCTCATTTGAGCCAAAATTGTTTGGACGTCGCAGGCGGCTATGAGAAACCTTGTAGTGCTAACCGGATTAGGCGCAAGATTGGATTTAGCGCTTCACATTTGCTCTGATTGCTGTCAATCAATGCGTCACGTGATTGGTCTGTCACCCTCATTTTGCTTTTTGGAACTGACTTAAGGCCAAGCCAAGGGGCCTGAAATGCAAAACCTTCACTCATTAGTGCTCCACAGAACGTTTGGGGGGTGGGCGGTCCCCAAAACCAGTTTCACTGATAGACACAAACGGTGGACATGTCGGTCATAACGGGACACTGCTTGAAATCAAACAAAGTCAATCGTTTTGGTTTAAAGTGCCGTTTTTCCTCATGAGGATAAGAACATTCGAAAATGGATGCAAGAAAACATCTAACCACAATTGAACAAGGCGTCCGCCATTTTGGTTTGGAGCAAGCCAGCAGGGAAAACGAGGCTGTCAGGGCAATTTATGATTATCAATGTTAGTTGAACACCCCCGACCCCCCAAAAAAACATGATTATTTTTGGTCAAATTTGTATTTATTATGACAATAGTAATGAGAAAAGTGCAAAAAACACAAAAGGAAACATTCTTGACAAAGTTTTTCAAAGAAAACAGAACAGTGTTGTTGATGTTGTCAAAGGCATTTTTTAGTGATCGAATGAGTAAGTGTAATTTTTTTTAGCATAATAAGGCCTTCATTTAGGCAAAACAGCTTTTTAAAGGGATTGTATGCAATTTTTTTCACTGTTCATTTCAAAAACGCACTAAATTCAATATGCAAAAAAATGTTCTATCACATCAACGTCATTTTGAAATGTGATTGTAGGTGAAGTAATCGTTAATACCAGATCAGCCGCACCTCCATGTTTTGCCAGCATCTTTCTGCTACAGCAACTTGAAGGAGACAAACTTGGTCATCGTAGTTCCTCGACATCATGACTACAACATGGTAACAAATGCCATTCATTTGCTTGAGCGGATACTTGGTGTCAGTTGGGATGACAGTGGTTGCAAATGTGCTGATGAATCTGTGGCACACTTGACTAAGTTTGGTCTCACTGGGGCACTGTAGTGCGAGTTTCAAAAGACGCGCTTTGGTCATTGCATTCTATTAGTTCACCACTAGATGGCAATAAATCATACACTGTACCTTTTAGGATCGACAAAATGTACCTTATTTGGGGCGTAAACTCCAGTACTGTATGACTTTGTAGTCTTAACACATCATTTAGTTTAATCCACTTAATTTTTTTTAATCAATAACTCCAAAACACAGCAGTGAAATGCGGCATGAGGTCGCCATTTATTCTTAGTGAGGACGTTAACGTGGTTAACTGCAATTTTTTTTTAATATTTATAATAAACTCTCTTGTTGGTCGCGCGCGCGTGTGTGTGTGTGTGTGTAAGTGTGTGTGTGTGTGTGTGTGTGTGTCAAGAGAGAACACTATGCATATACATACACTTTATCTTATTGGCAAGTAGATATGTTGCTTTTTTTGTAAGTACATTCTGTTCATGTACAATATACACCTTCAAAAATAGACTTTTGTTGAGTCCCCCCACCGCCATCAAAGATTCACATACGATTGTTAAAAGAGCATTGCGGTCGCTGTCACGTGACGGCGCGGAAGGCACGTCCATGAGTTGACGTGTGGTACGACGGTGAATGCGGACGGAGACTGGAACGGCTGTTCGAGGAGAAGCGCCGCCGCTCCCTGTTCTCGGCTGCGCGGCGCCAAGGCAGTGTGAGGAAATCTCCAGGCCTCATTTGAAATGAGCGGATGACGACACGGACGAGAAGACCGATAAGGCTCGGCAACCTAGCATAACGTGACCAAACCTGCCCCCCTTATGAAAAGGATTTCCTTGATATCCCGCTTGAGACCCACGTCGGCTACTTTGGACAGACTAGTGAGACAATTTAGCGCACTAGAACAAGTATTTTTATTGAACCTTTTGCCTATTCAGTTTGTGGGAAAATATTATCTACAAATGGACATTTAAGAGCACACACTGGCAAGAAACCTTTTGCCTGCTTAGTTTGTGGAAAAAGTATTGCTTTGGCACCATTGGTGTCAAGGAAGAATACTTCATTAAGACAATGAAAGTGATTTGTTGCCATCTTGGTGCCAAGGGATTAAGTTATGGTGAGTTGAAGGGCCTCATTTGAACAAAAGTAGTGCTTTGCCACCATCTTCCGGCGAGGAACTACGTTAGTAAGCTTGAGTTCGACAAAAGTATTGCTGCCAGCACCATCTTGTGACATATCGGTGCCAAATAACTATTTGGAAGTGAGTTGAGGAGCTCCATTAAGACAAAAATAGTGCTTTGCCGCCACCACCCGGTGGACTTTGGGGATCAGTTTAGCAGCTTCATTTAGACAAAAAATAGTGCTTTGCTACAAGCAATTATTGCAACAGGTAAGTATAAACTTTTTACGGGATGACGTAAACTCAGTGAATTTTATGTCAACTAATCCAGTTACGCCTTACTAGTATACAAAAACTGTTCTACTAGTGCGGACAAAGAGTGTACCAGTACATAGATCTCAAGCTGGATATTAAATAAATCCTCAAGCAACTTGATGGAAAGCGGTTAGTGCAATGAAAAAAATTAGCACGCTAATCGACCAAGTAAAACGACGTGTCTTAATAGTAACAAGTTTACCACTACTGCATTGGCATTTCTGCACACTAGTAGGACAACTACATGTTACAAGAGAGGCAAAACTTCCGAGTGGGCATTCTGGAGCTACCAGTAAATTAAGTCACGGAATGAATTCAAGGTAACGCAGTACTCCATTTTTTTGTTTTTGCCTGAAAATACCTTGCAACACCACCAAGTTCCTCAAGGAGGCAACAGTGAGCCATGGGACCAAATATCTTCTTTTTGTGTGCTTCTCTTTGTTTTAGTGTTTCAAGTGTGAACAATAGTGTTACAATGTTGCACATTTTTCTTGGTGGGGTTAGTGTTAGCATGTGGCTGGAGGAATTAGGGCACTCTTGAGCTGCTCAAGTGAAGCAAGGTGAACTATGCTACGCTAAGCTAACGGGCAGCGATATCAGGCTTCTCATTACCTTTGGCAACCTCCTGGCGGCGGAGTCAATGGTACGCGCAAGGCATTTAGTCATATGGTACATTAATTTGAAACAAGAACGACAACATACACTAGTCGCAAAAAGTTTGGGATATTGCGCTTTGGAATGAAAGTTCAGGATGAGCCTAAAGTGCAGGGGAACTTAATTTGACCTTCTGTAAATTTTTAAATGCACATATCCAAATGTTTCAGTACTTTTTGCACCGCATGCTGTTCTCTACTCAGAAGGGGAATGGCAGAATTCGCAACGGGGCATCCTGAAATTTCTTTTCAATGCTCAACAGCCTCTAAACGTTGCGACCGGTGTGTAATATGCACTTGAGAAATGAATGTTTCAGCGACATTCCTGACTGGACGATGACTTCGACCAATCAGACGAGGCTCGCAAATGCCACATGAATGTGAGAGGACACGGGTTTTGACTTAAAGGCAGTTGTGGCGAAGTTAGAGTCCAATTGTCAGCCAATCGCCGGAATGTCTGACGTTTGGCACACAACTTTCTCTGCTAACTCTACAAACAATCGAGAAGTCTTGCTTTAGTTTAAAAAAAAAAAAGAGAGAGATGAAAATGGGGGTTGGCTTTGATATTACAAACTGGCTGGGTTTGGTAGGTGGGGATTTGGCGCCGCTCGGTGGTCGGGGTGAGCATCACAGTGGTTGGAGAGTTGGACCTGAGGGCCAAAAAGCTCTCTCCCCGATTTTCTCTCTTTCTTAGTTTTTGTTGTACTGTGGTGGCGGTGTCCCGTTGTCGGCGTCGCGGTGAGTCTGGCGAAGAAAATGGTCAGGCATCAGGGGTCCTACGGGAGAAGAGGGTCACTTTGTATATGCATAACCTCTCTTGTGACATCAAGACTCACATGGAATCAAGGCGGGTCTCATCTGAAGCTCTTCTGCTGCTGCATCAGACCGACGTTCTCATAAACTCGCGAGTTGTCCTCACGCATCCTGACACACGAAATATGCAAGGACACGCTGGTCAGCAACCGCTGGGGAGGAGGAAGGCCCAGAAGGAAGTCAGACTTACTCTGTGCAGGTTGGCGTGGGCAGCGGCGTGCAGGGAGGAAGCGGACTCTGCTCGCCACCCGTTAGGTCCGACAGAGAATATTTGATGTTGGTGTACTCACGACCTTTGATCTTACTTTTCTGGAAAAGACATTTATAAAAAAAATAAAATAAAAATAATAATAACAATAAAACACATGTAGCAGACACTTGATTATACATACATTCTACCAACAGGATGATTAGTATGTAGCGTTGTTAGCATGCAGCTGAAAAAAAGGTTTATCTCTTGTGTTGATCTGTTTCATATTCAATTGTTAGGCACAGCACATTGTTGCAGCTGCACTGGTTCTTCAAAGTGATATACCATTAAAGTTGGAAGTGAATTGATTTGGGGAACACAAGCTGTTTTTTAAAACCGTGTCTAGAGGGCGCCAGTGAGTCCACTATGTGTTGCATAGTAGAAGAAGGCGGGACCTGCTCCTCCACGATGCGCCTCTGCAGCGTTTCGATGTAGTGTTGCACGGCCATGTAGATGAAGCGATACTGGGCTTCCGTCTGAACCATTCCGGAGCGCTGGGAACGGACCATCTGGATGCTCTTGGGAACGTCGATGTCACAGTCCACGCCTGGAACACACACACACACACACACACACACACACACACACACACACACACACACACACACACACACACACACACACACAAAAGTCACACGTGTGCGAGCACGCACGCACTCACACGCGCACATGCACACACACCTTTTTCTCTGATGACATCGATGAGGATGTCGATGACGATGAAGGTTCCCGTCCGTCCGATCCCTGCACTGCCGACACAAGCGTAGCCGGTTAGCATGCGTGCCTGGCGGCGCCCCCTATGTTAAATGATGCATACCTGCAGTGTACGGCGATGGGTCCGGCGTCCAGGATGCTCTCCTGCTTCAGGTTCACCTCCTCCAAGAAGTCCAGAACACCGCCAGGGTCCGTGGGGACACCGTGGTCGGGCCAGGCCCTGAAGTGGTACTGCCAAACAGTGCGCTCTGTGTTGCCCTGGAGACAAAAAATAAAATAAAATAAAAATAACCCAAACAAAACAAGATTCAGCCTGTCAGTTTGAAAGGATAAAATGCAGAAGAAGAATAAAAGAAGATTACCTGTCCCACTTTGGAGAGTTTGAGTTCTCTGAGGATGTAGTCATGCGCCGCCGTCTCTCGGACGTTGCGAACGCGCATGGCACCGTATTCCTTCAGAGCCGACACGTCGGGCCAGTACTTCACACATTTACTCTGTCAACACACAAAGTGAACAAAGCAAAAATGTTCAAAACAAAAGAAATTAAGAGGATAAGGAAAATGGAAACCAAAATTCAAATTCAAATAAAATAGGAATAAAAAAAGTACAATTTCAAATGATTCTAATCGGAAAAAAACCCCAAAATGCTTAAACAAAAATATAATTCAAAATAAATAGTATTAAAGTACATTTTCAACAATAATTCTCATAAATAATTCTAATAATAAATCTAAAAAATGTAAAAAAGGTTAAAAAGTAAAATTTTCAAGAGAAGAGTAAAAATTAAATTTCAAATAAAATGATAAAAATATAAAAGTACAATTTCAAAGGAAACAGTCACAATCAAGAGTAACAAAAATCAATATGAAGAGAAAATTCAAATTGAAAAAATAAAGGAGAGCAAAAATTTAGAGAGTAGTTAAAAAAAACCTACAAATTCAAATTAAATAGGGAGGGAAAAAACATTTGAATAAAACACTAAAAATAGAAAAGTTACATTTTGAAAGGAAACAGTCTGAATCAAAAAAAAAAAAAAAAAAAATTGGCACAAATACAAAAGGCGTCCAAGTAAAAATGTCCAAATTGAAATGAATTGCTGAAAATTTCCTTGGCCATGTCATAAAAAGTGTTGAAAAATCAAAAACCCAGGTGGTCTGTGCTTTACCTTCCCCCTTTCCACCTCCTTGGTGGTCATGACGATGACTCGTGAATTCTCCTGGAACACCATCCTCCAAAAGTCGCTGATGGTGTTCTGCAGGCAGCCCTGCGTTGCGATGTACGACTTCCTCAGCCTGGCGCTGTTGCACTTGTTGTCCTGCTCGGGCTGAACGCGACAAAGCCCAAAAAAAAAAACAAAATCACTGGGGCCAACGTGAACGACGGCAACGTGAGCGACGGAGTGAGGAGGAAGAAGGTCCGTTTACCAGGCTAGGGGATACTACCATGATGATGTTGGCGTTGATGTAGTCGGAGCCCGCTTCGTTGGGGTCCCCGTCGGTCAGCACCACCCGCGTGTGGTCGACTGCACGCAGGAAACAAAAACAAAGGTCAGGTTTAAAGAGCAAGTGACTGGAGGCACTCCCAAGTGTGGATGGCTTTGGCACCATACTGCCTCACACAGGTCAGGGTTGGTACTACAACACATACACTTGCCCCCCCTTTTTTTATTTCTAGTAATGTTTCTGCTCTTGGTTGACATGTACACAAAATGCGTCAGCGTGAAGCCCACTAAATCCAAGAGGGGGCCCGTGACTCTTACTCACAAGGCAGAATGTTCTTGTATCGGTTCTTGTTCTTGTTCTCGGCCCTCTGGCCCTCCTTGCGGCTGTACAGCAGCTTGCACTCCTGCTGCTGTAAAGTCTGCGTGGAAGCAAAACCATTTGGGGTGAGATCTTTGGACATTCACAGAATCCGCAAAATGTTGAGATCAGGGATGAAAATCAGCGAAAGCCTCACCTCAAACTCCTCCCAAAAGCCTTGCTTGACTTTGTCCGTGGCCTCCGCCAACTTGCTCAGCTCCCGTACCCGACTTTCGATTTCAGCTGCGTTGATGCGAGTGGTGTTGAGGGGCTGCGAAAGCGGGTGGAAACGTGAGAAACGACAAAGAACATGCAAGTAGAGAGCAAGAAAATGGAATGAATACTCAAACAAAGCTACCTGCTTGAGCTGCAACACTGTGCCGAGAGTCTCCACCATGGGGTTCTTCTTGTAGTGCTCCACCAGGTCGGTGAGGGAGTCAAACTTCTCGCCACCGCCCACGTCGTACTTCAGGTCGTGCTGAAGAAGAAGTACGCAAAATCAAACTTCAAAATAAAAGTACGTAATCTCCGTTCATTTCACAGAATCGCTTGTGTCGAGCGCATAGTGCGAAACCGCGTCAGTGCGCGTATCGCTTTAAGAAAAATCACATGACCCACAAAGCAGATGTGTCACACAGGGGTTGGCGCAGGATGTGGAACTTGTGGCATATCTGCAATTTGTGTCGAATGGAGGAAAGAAGACTTTGTGTACCGTTTTTGGATCCCTATTGTCACTTTGTGTCCATTTGTGAATACCATTCCGTATTTTGCTCCGACAACACCAAATAAGGTAAATGTTCTTTCGAGGCTCACCTGGCATCGGATCATGACGTGCGTGACTTTGGGCTTGCTGTCGCTGCTGTCCGTCTTGTCATCGCCCGTGCGCACAGACAGCACAAAGTCTCCGGGGTGACTCTGGCTCTCCCGCACCAGGAAGCTGCCGTTCTTGCCTTTCTCCGTCAGAAGCTTTTCCGCCTCGCGGCCCGACAGGTGCCCGTGGAACCATCTGCCGGGACAATGCCAACAACGACATCGTTACGCACTTCATTCAGGACGCAATCAGACGATACACGATACGAGTTAGGCTCAAACTCATGATTATTTTGAATGAATGAATCATCCGTCAATTATTTTGCCATTAATCGATGATTAAGGATGGATTATGGATGATGATTAATCGATATTTTCAATTTTGGTGCCATTCAAGATTCCAAAATACAGACTTTTACTGTCAACACTAACACAACCTGAGAGTGTGAAGAAAATAAGTCAAGTCAAGTCAAGCTTTATTGTCAAATCAGCAGGAAAAGCAAGTAAAAGCGTGGTGTATTTTCACTGGTGGAGGCAATACTTCATCACCAAGCAGCTGAACTCAGGTCCACTTGGATTCGTGCATGTGGACGTATATCGGTGGTTGCGTGTTGGGCTCACCTTTCTGACGTCGGGTCGGCGCAGTTGAGCGGATACTTGAGCTCTATGACGTCGCCGTTCTTCTCCTTGAGCTGCCCGTGGTGCTCCATGTAGTACTGCACCAGCTCGGCCAGCGTGGCAAACTTCTCGCCGCCATACAGGTCGTAGTAGTCGCCCGTGTTCTGGATCTTGATGTGGGTGACGGCGCCATTCCGCCTGCGTGGGAAGCACATTTGGTAAGGGATGAGCGAAAAGCGAGAGGAGGGTATCGGTATTGGGCCGACACCGGCCTGATTTCAACCTTTCGAATACTCCCGAAGGCTGCCGATACCAGTCACCGATAGCAGTCACTAGCACCCTCTTGTGGACGTTCTACTATCAGTCCTAGCTTTGACAAAAGGGCTTTTTTGTTGTTGTTCTCAACAAACTATCAGTTTATAAGCGAGTACACACTGAACTATAATTTTTGGCGGAGCATTACATCCCGAATGATTACACATTTGTGGCTTGACAATTATAGTCGGCTACTTGAGGATAACCTTTACTACTATGTGGCCTGTGCGGAAAACAAGTTTGATATTCCTGATGTGAGACGTGACGAAATTTCACGCAATCCCTGGCTGTCAGACTGGTTTGGTGAATAAAACAGTGACTGCACCAAGCTGCATTCAATTAGAATGTAAATATGAAACATTGTGTCTTTTTTTTTTTTTTTTTTTTTTTAAAAAAAAAATTTTTGCTGGGAAAATGGGCCGGGCCCCCCCCCAAAAAAAAAAAAAAAAAAAAAAAAAAGTGTATTACTCAATGGGGTCATTATCATTTGGAGTCAAGCCAGTCGTCCAGATGGTTTAAAAAGGCTGGCGCTCACCTCTTAGCTTGAACACGTCCCAATTTTGGAACTGACTGTTAACACTCGAGTGACACTGTTCCGCACCTACTAATACAATATGGTGTCACAGGTCTGTGCCAGATCCCCACTCACCGCACTGACAGGGTGAAATCTCCAGGGTTACTCTTGCTGGGTCTTGCCAAAAAGCTGCCGTCCACACCGCGAGTCAGCAGCAGGTTCTCCGCTTCCACGCCCGTGATGTTGGGGTGGAACCACCTGTAGAAACAAACACAAGTGTGATATCAGCTGCGGGCTTGGACTGCGGTCAAACATCAGAACATTTCTCGGTGCGATTCTGAGACAGTTTTTAATCCTCCCTGGGTGAACAAGTCATTGTTTGACCGCTTTGAAGTTATTTTAGAACATTATTTTGAATCCCAAACCACTGACCTGCATGCATTAGTTGAACAGGTTTTGTTTTGAAGGTGGCCAACGCCACTCGCTGGCGGCAGATTACCGTAACGGCACAGCATTAACAGTCGCTGTGGCAGATGCCTTGACTTCACTTTACGTGTGGAGGCTGGCTTGACCGCGGTGGCGTTGGGGTGATGGCCATTCTCAGGGCCCATTACTGACAGCTATCAGTTTGAGGCACATTTTGATCCGCCTCACTGATGGGAGGAGGCATCCCATCACACAGAGATGATAAGATAAGAAAAGAAAACCTTTATTTGTCTCACAATGGAGACATTCGCAATTAACAGCAGCAAAATTTGGAGGGAAGAAAGTAGAAAAACATGAAGTATTTGCATGCACAAAACAAATGACTTAATTAGGTTTATTTTACGTTGTCGTCCACACAGTTGGGCTTTTATGAAACGCCAGTACTGTATTACGCTCGCTCTGGTTATCCTAAGTCGTTTTGGACCTTGCCTCGTTGAAGGGCGCTTTTCTTCTTGCCCATAAAGGCGCTCACAGTTGCTCTGTGGTTAATGTTGCCACATAACACTGACATCATGAGCCTCCCTCGGACTTGAGAGTAGCGAACAAAAACGTCTCGCGAGCAATAGGAAAGCCTTGACTGTTTGTACTGCATTGTTTATTTACGATGTTGGGGTTGTGGGTAGCAAATATGAAGTCACCGGTGTAAGCTAACGTTACACGGTGAGCAACCAGCTCCTTCTCGCACATAAACGTCAGGGAACACTGCCTCTAAACCTCCTTGGTGGAATTAAAGTTAAGATAGCCGGGCTAACACCAGCGCCGGACGTTATTTTCCAGAGGAGCGCTTACCTCCGAGATGTCATTTTTTTCCGCTCCTCACTTCCTTTCCCACTTGGCAGCTAACAGTAGCTTTCCAAGAGCTAGGTGGCAAACCTTCACGACCGTTTTCCCTCCAGTCACCGGGAAAGACGTTCATCGGCTCATATCCGGCCTATACGCGTGCCGAAATCACGGCATCGACAAAAAAAAGTCGGAGCAAGTACGACATAAAAAGTGTTTTTAGGCCCGCCCGGGAGACTTCAGCACAAGTCGATTGTTGGACGTCACCAAACCTGCGACAAACCAAAGGATACGTTGGATTTAATACCTTGGGGCGTCCGTTTAGAGTGTGACACCACCCGTTTTTGTTGAATCAAAAATTCCCTAAATACCGGGGCAACGAGATAACAAAATGAAAGACTCCTCCCGATGTCCCACTATGCGCATGCGTGGAAAAAGTTACTACTGTATATGTTTTACAAATAGAGCATCATGTGAATGATACGCGTTTGTCAGTTTCCACGAGCAAAATACAACGTTTAGATCCTCGTTCGTTCCTTGAATTCGGGAAGAATGAAATACTGGGTTCCATTTCAACACCGTTATGAGTACAAAAACACAGCGTTCAAATGTTTAATAATTAAGGATGGGTGGTATTTCAACACCCCCGCCCCCCCATCGCGATTAACCCATGAACGGTAAAACCCAGAACAAGCGTCTCTCAGTCTCGACTCAACATGATGAGCATATGAAAGACTCCGTTTCGTAGAAAATGTTATTGTATGTTTTACAATCTGTGTTGAGATTCAAAATCCACGTATTATACATGGATTGAGAAAACAATTAACACAAAAGATAATTGAATAAGCGGTCATAGGGGGTACTGTGTTTAATTTGATCTATCCATCCATTTTCCGATCCGCTTTATCCTTACAAGGGTCGCAGGGCGTGCTGGAGCCGATGCCAGCCGTCTTCGGGCAGTAGGCGGGGAAACACCCTGAACAGGTTGCCAGCCAATCGCAGGGCACACACACAGACGAACAACCATCCACGCTCACAGTCACACCTAGGGACAATTTGGAGTTTTCCATTATATTTTTGGAATGTGGGAGGAAACCGGAGTACCCGAAGAAAACCCACACAGGCCCGGGGAGAACATGCAAACTCACACAGGGAGGTCGGAGCCGGAATCGAATCCTGCACCTCTGCACAGTGAGGTTGACACGCTTCCCACTAGCTCACTCGATTCAATCTATCTTATTGGAAAACACAACGATGGGTTTATTTTTTCAAGATTTTTTTTATGCAATGCCCTTCGTGACGTCCTGTCAATGTGTATTAATCACGTTAGGTTATTATGGTCATTTATAACGTTTTTGCCCACTCACCTGTATGGGATATTGTAGAAAGTCAGGTTGCGAGTCTTTTACACATCGCGTTTTCTACGGTATGACCCTCGCGATTCGCCGTTTAAGCCGTACGTGGCAATCACACGATCGCCGCAGTTTGGCACTTTGGGCTTCTCCTCTCCGGCACTAAATCAGCCACACGAAACTGCACTCCAGCAAGGGGGATCGTGGACCGAGGATAGTATTTACTTGCAATTATATATTTTCGTTATCTCCCCCTCCTAAAGTCCAGGAACAATGTTCACCACGTGGGAAATGGTATTCTTGCTGGCCGTCCTGTCCGCCACGGCGTCCGGCTACTTCGTTAGCATCGACGCCCAAGCCGACGAGTGCTTCTATGAGCGGGTCAACTCCGGCACAAAGATGGGCCTAATGTTCGAGGTCGCCGAGGGAGGCTTCTTGGATATCGATGTGGAGGTGAGACGCCCGAGGGAGCGAGCTGGCGCCGAACGTTCGCGGCGAAGCAACGCTAATCTGCACCGAAGGAGGATAAGGCCTATAGCGGTGCTGTCATGTCAGATGCAGTCTCTTAGTACATTAGCTGCGGTGCAGCTAATTCAGCGCCGCTTTGGTGAAACTTGTTTTTCATGTTTCGATTTTTCAACAGAGTCAGCGTTCATAATTTTTAAGTCGTTAATCATTATCAGCCCGATATATTCGGTGTTTGGGTGTTAGGCTTCGGTTTCGACGTGCTAGCGATCTTTTGACCAAGTTATTGTATCGTTGTGTAAATAATTTTCATTTCACTCCTTAAAAGTGCACATGCGGGGGTTTATTTCCTGATGTTTGTTCGAATCAAATCTGGATGTTTTTCTTGTTGATGAAAAATGTGCAGGTTTCCATATGTTTCTCAGCAACACAGACGAAGTTGTACTTGTGAAATACCCGGATGTCTCGTGTTTGTTGATAAGGAAATAACAGATTCTAAATTTTTTTAGTTCCGGCTTATTTATTCAATAGCCGGATGTTTCCGTATGTTGGAAAATTGTTTTCCAACCTTTTCCCCATGAAAAACAATCACGGGGCACACGACCTGCTGAAATTGTTCAAAATGAAAAAAAGACTATACATCGACGATATAAAGTCGTTCTCATCAAAGTGTCTTGAATACGATTCAAATAAACCCACTTTTGAAATTGTTAATGTTTCAACTTCGTGTGAAACCTGGGCCTGTTTGGATGAACACAGTACTGATATGTTTGCAGGAAAAAGAAAGACACACATGAAGCTCTTCCTCAACATCTATTAGTATCGCTGTAATTTTTCTAGCAAACAGGCTTGAAAAGCTGTATTGCCTCACGCAAGAGACAATGCTTGAGCTAACAGTCTTAGCCTTCTTTTGACGTGCACTCCTATTTGCACGTCAGGGTTTGGGGCTTTGTCAGGGTCCAGTTAGGAGTTAGCATTTTGACTCTTCAAAACCTGACCATCACTTGTCACCATATGGTCTTGCTAGCCACACTGCCACAGTCCCAGCCACCTAATGCACCACTAATTTCGCTTGTCTTATGATTACAAAGCATTTACTTAGATGCTGCCACGTACTGTTTTAGGATAGTATTACATAGTTATGCTGCCAATGACTTGGCAGCACAGACACTCGACCTCGGTATGTTATTTGTGGATAATTAATTATTTTCTAAAAATATTTCTGATGCAATTTCGATGAATTTGGATAATTTCCCAGGGCACACTCTACAATATCTCACGGCACATTGGTGCGGTACTGGATAATGCCATTACCTCATGCAATTATGTTGAAATGTGTATAACATAAGGTATTTCAGGTATGTGGTGTCTCAATCTGAACAGTAGGGGGCACTGTTTAAACGGAGCACATACAGTAGATAGAAAATTCACAAATAAAGAACAGAAAAGAGCATAGAGTCTGGTGGATATGCACATAAGATGCCAAAAGAGCTTTTATTATTATTATTATTATTATGTCAAAGGAGCCTTTTTTGCTGTAGTTTAGTAGAAGACGTAGGCTATTGCCAACCTTAAATACATACACCCAAAGTGCAAAGACACTGTCGGTTGACACTTCTCAACCTGTAATTACTACATTCCTATCCGCCATTTCGTGACGTCACTGACTTGGTGATGCATAGCTACACTCATTCTCTAAATACATGAATAGCAAATAACTCTTGAGCTGTTGTTGGACACTTCCTGTAGCTTACATTGAGCAACTGTTAACTTCTACCCAGACCTTTTATGTGCATCAGCTTGAAATTGACCACGCTGTTGTAATAGCATGCTGAAGGCATAACATGGCAATAAAGCACTTAAAACTGAGCGCATCATAAAGCATTAACACCATGCATTTAGCATGTACTCAATCATGAATCCATGTTACATAATCAAATTGCATTGTGGCTGTTCCGCTCAATTCTTCAACATAAATGCCTTCACTTGAGGCTCATCATTAGTGAGCATACTAGCCGAAAATAACATTGCTAGCACAAACAAATGTGACATCACTCATGGTCCAACAAAGTACGCACGGGACTTGTTGTTATCCATGACACAGTTTTTGTCCGGAACTATTATGAATGGCATCTCTGCTTCCAGATAACCGGTCCCGACGGCAAGCAGATCTATAAAGGCGACCGGGAGTCGAGTGGCAAGTACTCGGTGGCAGCCCACATGGACGGCACCTACAAGTTCTGCTTCAGCAACAAAATGTCCACTATGACGCCCAAGATCGTCATGTTCACCATTGACATTGGCGAGGCGCCCAAAGGCCAGGACATGGAGACGGAAGGTGACTGAGCCCCATCTTTGCTTTTGCCCCCCGCACCCACAAAATGCAGCTCTTTTCCTTTCACTCTCCCTGATTGTGTTTGTTTTTGTTTTACCGTCTTGTGGACACTCTTATCTCCAGGCGGCGGCACTTGGGATGGTAGGCGGATAGAATGTGGACTTTTGGTGTACTCGCTAACCCAGTGATTTCCAACCAATGTGCCGTGGCACGTTATTGTTGTGCCAAAGTTAATCCAGTTTTGAACAAACAAAACATGTAACCTATTTGCTTTGGCGCAGTCAAAGTTGGGAAGTACTCCTCTAACCAGAGTTGTGCGTCGTGAAAAGCCACTAATAGTGCACATTGCTGTGTGTGAGGGATTGGAGTGGTTTGACTCGTCGTACTGTGAAAACACTGCTTGAAAAAAATACCGTCAGCCCCCACCAAGCCGTCCGGGATGCTTTCATTGGTGCTTTGGATTTCAGAGGTTGACGCTTGCCTTGTTTCTGGGCACTCGTGGAGGAAAACGGTGTTGTGCATGTCTTATGCCCCGTTGTGTTGGGGATCTATAGTGTGTGTGTGTGTCTGTGTTTACTTATTTATTTGTTCATGGCAGCGCATCAAAACAAGCTGGAGGAGATGATCAACGAGCTGGCAGTGGCCATGACGGCAGTCAAGCACGAGCAGGAATACATGGAGGTCCGCGAGAGGATACACAGAGCCAGTGAGTGCCCACAAAATATGGCAACCAGCTGAAAGTTTCTTTTTTTAAGAAATTGTTATCTGCCAAATCTGCTTTGCCAGGCCACCGCGGTGACACCTGGAAACTGATTTTTAAAAATGCGACTTACAGACATGTCTTTTTCTGCTTTCCCTGTCCAGTCAATGACAACACGAATAGCCGAGTGGTGCTGTGGTCCTTCTTCGAGGCCCTCGTCCTGGTGGCCATGACGCTGGGACAAATTTATTACCTGAAGAGGTTTTTCGAAGTGCGGCGGGTGGTGTAGCGGCACGGCGGCGCGAACATTCGTCCTCCTTGAGACAATTCTTTACACTCTGCAAAGCAGACTGGCAATTTTCACCACTTCAGATTTTCTTTGTTAGGTTGTACAAAACGGCTGCAAGATTAAGGTGGTTCACTTTTTATTTTGTTTTTTTTTTTTTTGGTTTTGTCTTATTTAAAAGGTTGTCATCCCACCTCCAATGTGGTTACATTAATTTGCCAGTACTGTTTTGTGACATCAACTGAGCATTTTAAATCAGACAGAAGGTGCTGGGAATGAAAGCTTTGAGAGTTTTGGAGTTGACGTGTGGTGATTTGATCTGCTCTGTGGCTGCTTTAAGGGTGTTATAAAAGGTCAAACGGTCCTTTTCAATTGGCAATTTTTCTAGAATATAGTTGAATCGGGGGGTGGGGGGGTTGCGGCATGGTGGGGGGGTATCCTGATCTACTGACTGCTGTGTGCTTTTTTTTTTTCTTTTTGGGGTGGCTTAATATGTTGGGAGGATTTTAAATTGTACTTATGTTGATATGAATTTGGACTCTGTTGTTTTGGAGCATTTTCGCTGAGACGAAGTATTTGGATGTCATCTTTGTTGCGCTCTACTCAACATCCTGTTTTTGTTGGTGTTCTTTCAACTCTTTTGCAAAACTTCCAAAGTCGCCGTTAGTCTCTTCACGGCGGCTGCGTCCTGTGCGTCGCATCTCAACTGGAAATGCTCCCAGTTTTTTGTATTCCCAAAAAATAAAAAAATAAAAACAACCTCTGTTGTTTGCTCAGGCAGAAAAACTCCTCTGCACTCAGTCTCCCCTTTTCAGACTCCGACACTGATGCATCCATCTGTACAAATGTAGAATGGTTGTTGAAAATAAGCCCCAGGTTTCATAATAAAGAAATTCTAAACCATGACTGCCAGCACATTTTTAATACTGGAAAAAAATCTTATGACTTGCAAATGTCCCACAAATACACAACATTTACAAAGTAAATATAGTCTGATAAAATAATATAAACTTACAATTAAAAGTAAGAAATGTCATAGTCCGTCATGTTTAACCAGAAGTTGCTCATTAATTTAAGTACCGTTGTATATCAATGTAATGTTTTTGAATACCCAGATTTTAAATTTTTATTATTGCATTCCAATTCATTTCAGCCCCTATAACTGTCGTGGGTATTAATTTAGGAAACCATATTTGTAACTTTTTTTTCATTGTGGGGTTACGTTAAAATCTTTTAATATAAAAGTTGTCTTTTTGCCACACGGAACGTAATCATTGACGCAACCCGGAAATGTTAGCATGTGGCAAGGTTAGCTTTAGTATGCGTGTGGCAGCGACTTCTTTTTGAGCTATTTGAATCGAAAATCTTGTGACTTAAAAAATTAAGAGAATGAAAATACGCTTTTCCTCACGCTCATGTTTCCACTTGGAGTGGAGGCGTCGGCGCAACCCAAATCGGGGAGGAACGTTGGCTTTAACACTGGTACTCATTTTCCAGATAACTTCTACGTAAATAAATTCAGGAAGTATTTTGAATTGATATAAGTTGGTTTTAAATCCCCACCGTTTATGTAAACACAATTTCCTCACTCTCATTTTTCCCCCCGACGCGACGCGTAACCCGGAAGTGTTAACATATCGTGGCGTAGTTTAGCGTCGGCTAACAACTTCTACAGCCCTCGCTTGCCACTTTTTCCAGCATGGAGAACACGACCGATGGTACGTGGGACACGTTGGCTGTTAAATTAAACGACAACATCTTAGAGACGCTCCGCGAGCTCAAATTCACGCATATGACGCCCGTCCAGGTATGTTCAATGGACGAAAATCCCACGTACAACTTTAATCAGAATAGTACAGTACTGTACACCAGTTTGTGTGCGTGTGTCTTCATTTGTTTCTGTCTTCCCTCCAGGCTGCCTGTATCCCACTTTTTATGAGGAACAAGGATGTGGCTGCTGAGGCGGTGAGTGACTAATTTTACTTATAAAAAATAAAAAAAAAAGTCGAAGAGAGCCACCGCTTCATCTGTCTCTCTCTCTTTCGTTGTCCATCCATATCGCTCATGTTTCCACTTGGAGTGGAGGCGTCGGCGCAACCCAAATCGGGGAGGAACGTTGGCTTTAACACTGGTACTCATTTTCCAGATAACTTCTACGTAAATAAATTCAGGAAGTATTTTGAATTGATATAAGTTGGTTTTAAATCCCCACCGTTTATGTAAACACAATTTCCTCACTCTCATGTTTCCCCCCCACCCGACGCGTAACCCGGAAGTGTTAACATATCTTAGCGTAGTTTAGCGTCGGCTAACAACTTCTGCAGCCCTCGCTTGCCACTTTTTCCAGCATGGAGAACACGACCGATGGTACGTGGGACACGATGGCTGTTGAATTAAACGACAACATCTTGGAGACGCTCCGCGAGCTCAAATTCACGCACATGACGCCCGTCCAGGTATGTTCAATGGACGAAAATCCCACGTACAACTTTAATCAGAATAGTACAGTACTGTACACCAGTTTGTGTGCGTGTGTCTTCATTTGTTTCTGTCTTCCCTCCAGGCTGCCTGTATCCCACTTTTTATGAGGAACAAGGATGTGGCTGCTGAGGCGGTGAGTGACTAATTTTACTTATAAAAAATAAAAAAAAAAGTCGAAGAGAGCCACCGCTTCATCTGTCTCTCTCTCTTTCGTTGTTTTCCCATCTATCCATCCATCCATATCTAATATATATTGTCTTGTTCTGATAATGTGTGTGTGTAGGTGACTGGGAGTGGGAAGACACTGGCGTTCGTCATTCCCATTCTGGAGGTTCTGCTCAGGAGAGAAGAAAAGCTTAAGAAGATGCAGGTGCGTGTGTCTGTGTGGTTAATGTTGCAAAATGCTGTGAATTTTTCAAGTTATAAACTTTACTATTAAAGAGCCGTATCTGAAGCGCTAACTCAAATTATGGGTGAATGGGGGGAAAAAAAATCACTTATGAATACACCCGAATGCCATCACATGTGGGCAAGGGGAGCTCACTATTTTGCATGGATGTACTGAGTCTTACGAAATCAATAAAGAAACTTTTTTTCTTATTTTTTGAAAAGTTTTAAATGTGACATAGGCTTCTATCCTCTCAGGCTAACAATCTGAAAGCTTTCCAACTCCACGTGGAAACATTTGCCAGTGTGTTCGTTGGTCGCCTATTCACACGTGTTCATGTTGACGTAGGTGGGCGCACTGGTGGTCACGCCCACGCGTGAGCTGGCCGTGCAAATCAACGAAGTGATCGGACGCTTCCTCCAGAAGTTTCCGCAGTTCACGTAAGTAGAGCCGCGAGCCAGATGAAACGGGCCAATGGTAGCAAAGCAAGTCTTTTTAACAAGGGTTCCACTCTTGTTTGTTTCCAGGCAGATGTTGATGATTGGAGGCAACAACCCGATGGAGGATGTTGAAAAGTTCAAGGAACGCGGGTAAAGGTGGATGCTCTACTGAAAGCGTAGTGGAAGTGGGATGGGGTTGGGGCTGAACCCCACCCCACCGCCCCCCCCAACAAAGTAGTCTCCATTAAGCAGGGAATGGTTGTCGTGTTGCAGGGCTCACATCGTGGTCGCTACGCCTGGCCGCCTGGAGGACATGTTCCGCAGGAAGGGGGACGGTGTGGACCTGGCCGGCTCGGTCAAGAGTCTGGACGTGCTGGTTCTGGACGAGGCCGACAGACTTCTGGACATGGGCTTTGAGAACAGGTGGGGGCCCAGTCTCCACTCACTTGATTGGAGAGAACGCAAAAATCTCAAGACAACAGGTTAGGCCACTTTGAGCGACGGTGACCAAGCTCCAAATCAATTTATGTCAAATCAAGATGATGATTTCTGATTTCACTCACTGGGCTATGTCCCATAAAAGGCACATGAACACAAGCTCCATTTAGTTAAAAAAAAAAAGTACCCTGTAGGGCTATGACTCACAATTATGTATTTATTTATTTTTTTATTCTTAAAAAAAGTTATTGATTCATCTGTCAATTATTTTGTTGATCAATCATTAAATTGGGGGGGGGGCGTTTCCATTCCTTGATGTCACGTTAACAGTGCAGATAATGCACTAAAGTTATGATTCGGTACCCGTTTTCTTTTTCCCACCGCTAAGGCATAAACACTAACAACGGCGTTTTGTCGGCAGTCTGAACGCCATCTTGAGCTTCCTGCCCAAGCAGCGTCGCACGGGCTTGTTCTCCGCCACACAGACGCAGGAACTGGAGAAGCTAGTCCGAGCCGGACTCAGGAACCCGGTCCGCATCGTCGTCAAGGAGAAGGGCACCGCCGACAGCGCCACCGTCAGGACACCCGCCAGGCTGTGCAATTACTACACGGTCAGTCAGTCAGTCAATCAGTCATCCACGCGACTGGGTTGGATGCTCACGGTTTTTCTGCTTCAGGTATGTCGTGCCGAGGACAAGTTCAACCAGCTGGTGGCGTTTCTACGGCAACACAAACATCAGAAGCAGCTCGTCTTCTTCAGGTGCCACATTGTCGTCATCGTCTTCACACGGCAGACGCCACGCCATGTCACATTGTTTTTTTGTTGTTTTTTTCTCCATCTTCACGCTCTTCTTCCTCATCTTGCTACGCCTCTTCTTTTTTCTTCTTTTTCTTCCTCCCATTTCTCATCTTCCTCCTCTACCTCCACTTAATCTTCACCCCTCCTTCTTTTTCTCCCTCTGCCTCCAATCTCTCCTCTTCTCTCCTTTCCTCCTCATGCTGTTGGTCCACCACTTCTTCCTCATCCTTTTTTTCTTCATCCTCGTCTCTTTTCTCCTCAGCACGTGCGCCTGCGTGGAGTACTTTGGCCGTGCTTTGGAAATTCTTGTGAAGAAGGTCCGCGTCCACTGCATCCACGGCAAGATACTCTTCCTCATCTTGCTACGCCTCTTCTTTTTCTTCCTCCCGTTTCTCATCTTCCTCCTCTACCCCCACTTAATCTTCACCCCTCCTTTTTTTTCTCCCTCTGCCTCCAATCTCTCCTCTTCTTCTCTCCTTTCCTCCTCATGCTGTTGGTCCACCACTTCTTCCTCATCCTTTTTTTCTTCATCCTCGTCTCTTTTCTCCTCAGCACGTGCGCCTGCGTGGAGTACTTTGGCCGTGCTTTGGAAATTCTTGTGAAGAAGGTCCGCGTCCACTGCATCCACGGCAAGATGAAACACAAGCGCAACAAAATCTTTGCTGACTTTCGAGCCCTCAAAAGGTGAGCGACCGTTCGCTCGCGCGTCCGCCGGTCCTCGCCCCCGCCTCATGCTTGCCGTGTGACCCTTGCAGCGGCATCCTGGCGTGCACGGACGTCATGGCGCGTGGCATCGACATACCCGACGTCCACTGGGTGCTGCAATACGACCCCCCCAGCAGTGCCAAGTGAGTCGCGCTCCTTAGCGTAGCGAGCCCCAACGGCTGTACCACGAGAACAGTTTTTGGCCGCGAGCAAGTCAGTGTAATGAGTGCACCCCCTTCCCAGCGCTTTCGTGCACCGCTGCGGTCGCACGGCGCGCATTGGTAACCACGGCAACGCCTTGGTCTTCCTGCTGCCAATGGAGGAGTCCTACGTCAACTTCCTGTCCATCAACCAGAAGGTGAGAATTTTTTTTTTTGTAACATAAATAAACATATTTGGTAAAAACAAACAATAGTAACGTGAATAAATAGAATGTAAAGAATTAAACAATATACATTATAGCTCAATGGGAAATATGTGTGCACCTTAGCCACCAAGGGGCAGTATAATACACATTATTGTACACAGATTTGATGATGAAACTATAGATACCGTATTTTCACAACCATACAGCAAAGTGAGCGGCACATCTCCCATGTTGGTGATGCGGTTGGGCCGGATGTGTTTGTCAGCAATTTTTTTGTTGTATTTCAAAATGCAAAGTCTGCTTGTCCCTCATTCCCTTGTGTAGTGTCCACTGAGGAAAATGCCGGCTGTGAACGACGTGGTGGACGTGTTGCCCAAAGTGAAGGCGCTGGCGCAGGCGGACCGTGCCGTCTTTGAAAAGGGCATGAAGGCCTTCGTGTCGTACGTGCAGGCCTACGCCAAGCACGAGTGCAGCCTCATCTTCAGGGTCAAAGGTCAAATCTTCAACAATCAGCATTCAAAAGTAATTTTTCCCTTCATGTTTTGTTTTTTTTAACTCTCTCCTCCTCCCTGTAGATTTGGACTTTTCCTCTGTGGCCCGCGGCTTTGCGCTCCTCCGTCTGCCCAAGATGCCGGAACTGCGCGGGAAAAGCTTCCCCGACTTCCAGCCGGTGGCGTTGGACACGGACACCATTCGTTACAAAGACAAACAGCGTGAGAAACTACGGCAGAAGACGCTGGCGGAGCTCAAGTTGAGGCAGCAGGATGACGACAAGACGAGGACCAAGAAAGCCGTCGGGAACCATGCTTGGTCCAAACAGAAGGCCAAGAAGAACAGACGCAAGAAGAACGCCGCCAAGAGGAAACGGGCGCAGGTAACACAAATTCTTGGAAATTTCACTCAGATTGTTAGCAGAGGTGCAATGATTAGCCGATTATCAAATTCATACATCATCATTTTTGATAATCGGTCACAGATCTGAATTTGTTCAAATCCTCAGAATTTCAACCTCTAAATATTATTACTTAGAGGCCTTGTTTAATTTACATTTCCCCTCAGTGCTCCGATGACGACGACCAAGACATTGAGGAGCTCATGAAGGATACTCGTCTGCTCAAGAAACTGAAGAAAGGGCAAATTTGCGAGGGGGACTTTGAGCGACAGATCACCGGTGGGGCGAATCATTAAAGACACTTTCAGATTTATTTTTTTCTTTTTATTGATGTTTCATAAATAGAGCTTGATGAGCTCGTCGCTAACCGCCGACGGCGTGAGGACGCCCAGGTCGGTGAAGAGTAGCGTAATGAGCGAGGGCGGCGTGTAGTCCACCAGGGGGTGCTCCTCCGACAGGTTGGATCTACTCTTCAACGTGTCAGCCTTGTACTGACACACACACACACACACACACACACATTTTTGTTTCAAATTAAGCTCATCAACTCACTTCATCCTAGTTCCTTGGTACCCAGATGCTGCACAATGCCTATAAAGAACTACTTTTGTCTAAATAAAGGTCCTCAAATTACTTCAACATAGTTCGTTGGGACCAAAATGCTCTGAGATAGCAGGATGGTACTGCGTTTGTCTAAATGAAGATCCTCAACTCGCTTCAAGATAATTCCTCGGCACCAGGGTATTGCAAAATAAGCTCTTGGGCATTCACATGTCAGTTCATCTCACCTTGAACTGGTCGGGCACATCCTGCTGGTTGAGCGGGTAGAGGCGCACAAACTTGAAGCTCTCGGCCACCACGTAGAACGCTTTGTTGTGGGCTTTGGCGCACGCCGCCATCTGGTAGGTGCCAATCTGCGGGGAAGAGGCACACCAGAGGTGAGATGGACGGACGAAGAAAGAAGCAAAAGACGCCAAGGGCAAGGTGACAAACCTTGTTGATGATGCCGCCGCTCTCCACCACACCTTCGGCGCCCACGATGACTTGATCCACCTTCTCCAAGATGTACCTGACACGTGAAAATATGAGGCATTTCTCCGGGTAAAGCTTTCATGTCCAACTATCTTATTTTTGTGACAAAATGTAGTTATTTTCAGCCAAATGATGTCATTTGTGTGCCAAAGCAATATTTTGTCGTCAATGTTTCATACAAATATTTTGTCAATATTTCACATAAACGGGAATGTTCAATACCACTTTTTTTTGTGACTGATACAGTACAAGTACTCGCTCTTTGACGACTCACCAATAACTCGAGTACTTTTGCTACACTAAAAAATTAAAACAACTTTTTTGTATCGGTGGCTGGTATCCGCAGTCTCCAAAATAACTAAAATGCTTCCTCACCCCACGGCGGCGTCCAGGATGATCGTGACAGGAACGTTGAGTTTTCTGAGGTGTTCCGCCATCCGTCGCCTTTTTTTTTATTTATTTATTTTTTTTTTTATGGACAACAATGAGGGGTGAGAAGAAAAAGTGACACGAGGTACGACAGTGGCGGTGGTGGCGACTCACCCAGCGCCGTCGGGCTGCGACTCTGTGACAAAGACAGAGAAGCGTTTCTTCTCCGCCGCCGCCTTCTCCAGTACCTTGAGGACCACCCGCGAGTACGAGTGTGTCAGGATTTTCTGTCGCACAATGCACAGGTGGGAGTAAGTCACACAACCTAGATGACGGGCAGAATCCCTGGATGTCCAAACTAGTCGCGCAATAATAATTCATTCACGACTAATCGGTTGTCAAAATAATAACTTGATAACTGGTTAATCCCGTGGTTATTCAAATTTTTACACCCGGCACCAGCATAATCACCAACATTAGATGTCAGTAATGTAGCAGGCCTAAGTGATCAAAAATGAGCTTAACATGCAAGTTTGAACATTAATATGACATTTAAAAATTGGTAATTTTTTAATTCAAAAATTGCTATTCATATATTACACTCAATAAATTTCACCCATTTTTAAAAAAAAATATCTGAGCAGCTTTTATTTTAGTCCCACGATGCGCAAGTCCCCCAACATGGCCAGGGCTGCAAGTGCGCTTTAAAGCTAGCTTTTTAAAAAATTTTGGGGGGAGTGTGAGACTTACGGCTCCATCCTTGATGAAGGTGTGACACAGCTTGGCCACTTTGCCCCTGGACATGGAGATCTTGTCCACAAACAGCTGCCCGCGCTCCTCCATCACTTTCTTGCAGCGTGACAATTCCTGCCGGCCATTGCCGTGGTGACAAGAAAATAACTACATGAGATGCTGCGGCATTGCTGTGGTGACCAGAGACTTTCAGCCGTTCCCATTTTTTTTCCCAGTTCAGCCGTGTACAATCAAGTGGTGGTATGTATAGCTATCTCTGTTGAGTGCAAAGGTGTCTTTAGAGCAATATTATACAAAGTGCATCTGTCAGTTGATTTGAGCAGGTTGGTGGCTGTCCCACCTGGTGTTCAAGCGAAGTGAGGCTGATAAAGCGTAGAAAGAGCTCGCCGCCCGATGATACGGCCACCGATGAGTCCACGCTGGTCAGGCGGTCGGTGGCCCACGTCAGGTTCTCCCTCAGGCCCAGGAGAGTCTCACCTGAATATCACAAGGCCATCGATAATCACAGCAGCAGCACCACGAGTGCAGAGACACACATGCAGGCGAAGTTGCGTCACCTTCATCTCGCTTGAGAAATTCGAGCAGCGTGCGGATGGCAGCTACCGCCGACGCCACGTCAGGGTCCTGCTTCAGCTGGCCGCGGAAGTATTCCAACAGCTCTGCGCCACAAACGCACACCATGAATAGGAAAAACACGAGGGAACAGTCAACACAAACAAAGAGGAAACTCATTTGTCTGCACACCTGGGGCACTTCTAGGATGAGAAGTAAAACGACACAAAATCTGATGGCAAATGATAAATTGATGGCAAAAATGCAAAAAAATAACCAGTAAATACACGATATAACAGCACATGTTCTAAAAAAATAATACGGAGACAGCATACAGACAAATGCAGAATACAAAGCGTGGGCACAACCTCAACATGACAGGACAGAAAATAACAGTATAGAACAAACACACACAAATAACAGTTGATAACCCCAGTCTCCCTCATCTCTTGTCTTACCTTCTTCATTCATGCTGGCACGCTTCCGTTTTCGGGTGCCAACAGTTTCTCGTCGTTTGGTTTTTAACTTCGACTGTAGTGCAAACTCCTTCAGGTCAAACCAGAAAAGCGGACACTAAATATTTTCTGCATGTGTTCAAGAAACCGACACGCTTTGTGTTGGGAACTTTTGGTTGTCAGTTCAGACAGCTGGGGCAGTTTTCTGCGAGTAGACGTGTCGCGCAGAGATGACGTCAGACAGCCGGCTTCTTCCTTGAGCAGCAGTTGATTCAAAACAAGTTTTGTGAGAATGCCTGGAATTACCGCCACCTCTTGGACAGGAAAGGTTTTGTAATTTAGGAAGAAAAGTGATCTTTTAGGAACAGTAAGTTTGAATTTGAATTTCTAAATGAAAATTCACCTGAATCATCATCTCTCTCACTGGAATGAATTAGAATGTTGTACTAAGAAATACATTTTGACCTCCCCCAAAACTCAACAAATTGTAATGGGAGCGCTGTCAACTGCAAACATTTTTGACATATGAAACGATAGATGTATATACAAATATAATATGTAGTTTACCTGTAAAAGTGTTCCCTAATGTGGTGAGAGTTGAATGCTATAATACAGTGCGTTTCTCAAGCTTGCACTCAAGTCAAAACAAAGAAAAAAATCATTTGAATGATGACTCGTTTAAAAAAAATAGTATGGATCACTTGAATCTCAAGGGACCACAGGCTTACAATACACACTAAGTGCATGTGAGAGTAAGGTCAGACGGGATCTTCCTTATTTCTGTATAGTTTTCATAAGATTTTAGGCAGTGTGCACTGATTTTTCCAAGATATGCGGCATGGCTCAACATAGGGTGGGACAGATGGAAATAAGTAATATTATTGGAAGGAAACAACAATAGACCAATCCGTTAAGACGTCAACATTTAATTTAATCATTTACAATATGTGAGAGTGACAACAAAGGCAGAACATATGACAGGAATCGGGAGAATGAAATGCCAGGGGTCCACTGCATCACCTTCGCGGGGTCTGGTCAAACTTTGGAGTCAGTTTGAAGCACATTGAGTCCGTCTTTGCTGTTGTTTGTTTCGGTGGGTGAATGAGTGAGTGGAGTCCAAACAGGCAGGATGATCGATGACAAGCTTCAACTTGAGCCAGTGGAAACGGGCGTCCCCATTATTCTTCCTTGGTCTCGTAGTTATGTTTGATGTGCTTCCATAATTTCTAACAAAAAACAAGATCAGTTTAATGATGAAAAAATAATACACAATTTGATGACTCTAAGTAGGTTCAAATTAGCGGTAGCGGCGAAGTTAGCTTCGCTAGCACCGAGAAGCACTTCGCCCTCTGCCTATGCAAGGTCAGGATAGAAGCAGAATTTCCGCATCGATAAAGTGTCTTACCCCGCGATTCATTTGCTCAAAGATCGCGTCGCCACCTTGGTCGAATATTCGCTCGAAAAAGACAGCCCCAACCATGATGGTTATGGCGAAAGTGGACGTTCTCCTGAAGAGCAGATTGTACACGGACTTTGCAAGCGCCATGTTGAGAGTGGAGTTGGTGCATATGCGCATGCGCGGTGACTCACTGCCGCCTCCGTCATCGAGAGGGCCCCCCGTGGGTGAAGCCAGAAGGCAGCCCAAATCTCAATTTAGTCATTCCATTAAAATGTATTTAAATTTCGAGATCCAGTACTTAAACTAAATCTAAATCCAACCAGTTAGGAAATTGCACGTTTCTTGGAAAGTGAAATATTGTAACCATGGTTACATTTAAAGGGACATTGACTGAAAAACAAAAGAGTTTACAGGAATTATGTGTTCCTGTTTGAAGATAGGCTACACTATTTGATAGAAATGTTCATCATGATCATTTTTTTTAATTTTAAGAAAGAAAAGTAGAAGATGTGTCACATGCTTCTCCTCGCGGCAGTGTTTTGAGGGAGTAAAGCACATTGAGCATAGAAACACATTTCAAAGAGCGCCTCCCACCCCACAACACAATGGACAACCTGTTCTAATCTACAGTAGTCTATGTTTGCCTCGCTCGAAACCTGTCATGTGACACCAGCTGTAGACTTCCGGTACTGAATGTTAAAAAAAAGTTGGAGGAAAATCTCAACAGAAGTTTATCCGGGTCTTATTAAAGTTCTGTGACGGGTGCTACGCCGACAAACACGACACTTTAGTGGGCCTTCGGCGGTGAAAGTGGGAGTTTATTTTTTTATTTTAATTCAAATTTTTGTGGGATAGGGAGTGGACAAAGTTTGGAAGATGTCGACGACAGCGTTGTACAACGACCAAGGTGGAGGAGCGGAGACTGCGGTGGAGGCTGGCCAGGAGAGCACGGCCACCGCCGGGGCCGGGGCCGCCTTCGGACTCTTCAGCGCTGACTTTAAAAAGTGAGGCCACTTTATTATTACTGTTTCATGACTACTTTGACTAATGCTAAGCTACGTATGCCACGTTGACGTGTCCTCAGCGGAGGCGAACTGTGGTAGCTAGCTACAATGATGGCCAGTGACAGTTAGCCACTAAATTTGGGTCAAAATGTCAGATTTAGCCACCCCCCCGTTTCTCGCGGGGGCTGCGGTCCACTCCCGCCCGCAATCAGCGACATACAGCACTTTAAAGCATGTCTTTTTAAATTGTAACTGTGAACAGATTTTAACTTTTTAAAACACACTTTTTGAACTAATACTGAAGGGATCCAGTGGATCCTTAAAAAAGCACGAAAAGGCATTGAATCATGAATCAAAAAACAAGGCTTCAATTGCCATTAGAATGTCTGAAGTTCATCTTTCAAAGTCTTAAAAAAACGTGTACACACGTGCTAGGTAGGATTTTTCTGACTGTGAACTTATATTGAGGTGATTTACCTTATTAATTAAAATGATTCACGGACTGACTTGTCATCACGCAATTCCAACAGCGGCACCAACAAAACGTGACATGGTTTTAGTCGAGACACTTTAAGGGCAATTTTATTCATATTTAGATCATTGGAATGGACACTGGTCTTAAAAAGAACATTGGCCCTACTTGTTTCGTCATGGAAAGTCTTGCTTTGGCTTAATAAAGGTTGACAAACACCTGACTGTTGAGAACATTAAAGATTTTGGGCATCATGTCAGCCAGTTTCCAGCAGAGGGTAATGGTCTGTTACAAAGATTTCAGCAGTCCACATGACAGCAGCTTCTCGGATCTTGTGTTTAGCTCGAGTTGGGTGGCAGTGAGGAATGTCACACTTTGCTGTACACATTGGTGCCTCAAACTCGGAAGTATGTGTCACATTTTCACTTGTTTTAGAAGATTTATTTTGAAATATCATTTTTTAGGTTGTTTTTCCAGATAGCGGATACACTTAAGAAAGCATTTTTTTTTTTTGCAGATGAGAAAAATGAACAAAATATTTTAGGCAAGATTTTGGGATAGGAAAACAGATCCCAAATGTTTTTTTGGATATCGATGGGAACCACAAGGCAAATATATAGGCAAGATTTTGGGATAGGAAAACAGATCCCGGATGTTTTTTGGATATCGATGGGAACCACAAGGCAAATATTTTTGGATGTTAACTGCAATTGTGAAATGACGGAGACCAAACAATTTCTATAGCTTCTGGGTATCAGAATTAAAATGGCAGGAGACATTTTTTGGGGGATGTTTTTCCAGATACCAAAAATGCTAAAACAAATGATTGTTGATGTTTTTCACATATCCGAAACTTAAACGAGTGAACCCAATGAGATGTTTATGGCCACAAGACATTGATTCAGATCACATGCTCCCGGCTGTTCCCTGACATTCTTCATGTTATCCGTCACGTCAAACACACTGCTAGGTGACTAAAAAAAGTTGCCCACCGTCCAGAGTAGTTAAGCCAGGGAATGAACATGGTGACGGCAGGTGACTAGGGGAGGATGGTCCTGGAAAAACGTGTAGTCCGTTAGCAGAAGAATGACACGCTGTTAGCGAGCTGACTCAGTCTTGCGACTTAATTTGCCAAAGTCAAGAGGAAGAAGGCAAGCGGCGAGTGTGCAAACAAAGCCGACCGGTTGCCCCAGAGAGCAGCGGCGAGGAGAGTGTCTCGCTATGGATGCACGCTTGTTGAGTTTCCGCTCGGAGGCAGCCGTGGCCGTCAGGTCGGCCATGGTGTCGGCTGAGCACCTGCAGCTGTCCTTGAAGTCCGAGCTGAGCCAGGAAGAACGCACCCTGACGCTTTCAGCCAACAAGTCGCTTAGAGACGGGTATGATGGCACGGATGAGATCTGAGGACCTTGACTTGTCCAGTTTGGAGTTTAATTTTCATTTTTCGTGTATGGTAGAGTGTCACCAAAGCTGTTGTTGGTTTTTGGATTGCTGAAATACCAAGGCGTTAATTTTGGGGTGTTTTGGGGAGAACTAAAATAAAAAAAAATTCTTGATGTTTGCTGACATCAAATTCTTAACAAGTAAAAAAAAAAAATCATTCAAATTATGGAAAATATTTCAAAAAGTTGTCGTGTTTTACAGGTTACTAAAAAAAGGAATCAAATGTTGTTTTGTGTATGTTTGTCAGCCATCCAAAACCCAAAGATCTGAAAACCGAGACATTAAAGTAACTGTACATATATATTTTTTCTCATATTGCTGAAATGTGAAGAAAATAATTTGGGATATTCTTCAGATATCTGAAACACAATGAAACTTTTTAAAAATGCTTTTGCAGAACTGGAATACTAAGATTAATGACGTTTTTTGCTGTTGGGATACCTGGAACATTTTTAAAAAATGTTTTTTTTTTTTTAGTTTTATGAAACACAAACAACATTTTAAAATCCCATTTATGAAAACTGTGATTGCTGATTTTTTCGGATTTGGTATTTGGACATTGTGTTGGGAATGTTGAGCACAACAGATGTCTGTGTACTGGTACACAATGCTACCACAGTTTTTGCATTAGCTCAAGAATGAGCTGCTCCAGCAAGTGAGTGATTAATTCCACTTGTGTTTTTTGCTTGTTTTTTTTTTTTTTTTTTTTTTTTGTTTTTTTTTTTTGTTTTCCCAAGTTGGCCTGTTGACACAATCATCGCCCTTGTGGACCTTTCACACGCGACCTGAATGTCTTTAACAAGCCAAAGTGCCGTTGTTATCACAATTCGTCTTGCTTTGTGCCCTTCAGGAATGAAGACCTAAAAGAAATGCTGGAAAGTAACAAGGAGTCGCTCAAACTGGAGGCCATGAAGAGGGTCGTCGGGGTGAGTGTGCAGTGTCTCTGGATTCCAGACAGATGTTATTCACTTGAAAGCATCTTGTGAACACAACTGTATGTTTTTTTTTTTTTTTTTTCTCCACAGCTGATTGCCAAAGGAAAAAACGCGTCGGAGCTGTTTCCCGCCGTGGTGAAGAACGTGGCGAGTAAGAATATCGAGGTATGACTCTATCGTCTGTTTCCATGTCTGCGCCAAAAAAAAGGTTGCTTCACAAAGTAGGCTGCTACTTCTGAAGTCTTCTGTTAGACCTTCACCTTGAGTGAGTTCAGTAGGCAACTTGATCATTATTCCTCCTGCACCAGCACCCTCAACATTGTCAGTTCGAGACATGGGGGAAAAAAAAAAAAAGTTTTGTTCTCAAGTCGGTTTTGTTTGTGTCATTTGCCAGCTGAAGAAGCTGGTCTACGTGTATTTGGTGAGATACGCGGAAGAGCAGCAGGATCTCGCCTTGCTTTCCATCAGCACCTTCCAGCGAGCCCTCAAGGTAACGCCTTTTAGCATTCGCTCTTTCTGTAACACCCTTAAGTGCCACAAGATGGCACCAACGCCATAGCCAATGGGAAAGTAGTATCGTGTTTCCAGTAGGAAAAAAAAAATTATCCTTATAATCAAACGCACACACATTTTGTAACAGGACCCAAACCAACTGATCCGGGCCAGCGCGCTGAGGGTTTTGTCCAGCATCCGCGTCCCCATCATCGTCCCCATCATGATGCTAGCAATTAAGGAGGCGGCGGCCGACCTGTCGCCTTACGTCAGGAAGACTTCTGCCCATGCCATCCAGAAGCTTTACAGGTACCTGCGCGCAACCGTACATTCACACTTTTAATGCGACCATCTCGTTGATGTTGGGCCTAATCTTCGCATCTCCAAAGCAGTGTCATGAGTCTGTGCGGAACTTGAGTTTGAGGCTTTCTTCTGCACCGTAGCGTGACAAAGATCCATATTGAACACAACAGGATGAATCAAATGTATCCCAATTCACACTTTTCACTCGTTATTAGTTTAAAAAAAAAAAGACAGTCTTTCTGTCGTGAGGCGGTTTGATGTTGCACGGCTCCCATAGAGTGATGGACGAGGCGGAGTTTAAGACACACTTGAGACAGTTAAGCATTCAACCATATTTGGATAGAAAAGCGTGATGTGCATACCTTCCACAGAAAAAAAAACATTGTTCGGGCACTATACTATTTTTGATTTTTTTTTTTTTTAATACCTTTTCCACATTTTGTTCCTCAGCCTCGATCCCGAGCAGAAGGAGCATCTGATTGAAGTGATCGAGAAGCTCCTGAAGGACAAAAGCACGGTGAGTGCGGCCACCAGAGGGCAACCCAGTTAAGCGATTGGCCCCCCTGGCCCTTTTGTATCCCTGTGCCACAGTTTGTTCTGGCAGTGCCTCACTTTTTTTTTTTCTTTTTGCGGCCACTTAAATCCACACGTCCTCACGTGCTCCTGCTTAAGCTTTCGTTGAGCTTTACACTTGTGTCACCCCATTTTACATTTATCACGCTCTGACGTCTTTAAAAAAAAAAAAAAAAAAAAAAAATTAAAGATTATTGGAGCTGGTCTCAATGAATGAATGCTTAATTTGTTTGCTTCACTGCACTCATGCTCAGAGTTTGGTGATTATGTATTCATAGCATACACTTGTAATTGTACAAACAAATAAAGCGGCTTGGGCCAACTGCTGATGTGGGACGGCAAGCTTGGGAGCAGATATATAGCATATTTAGCTGCAGCCCATTAACGAAGACAGATGACTTCTCTGCGCACACGTGAGGCTTGGGAATTGAGCGGGGTGGGGGGACGGGAGGGGAGACGCCATCATCACACAAGTACTAGCTGCTGCTGATTAATGGCGAAACCCCCTCCTGAATATTTAATAGACATCACAAGTGCGTTTTTATGCCTACGTATGGTTTTAGAAGTGGCATGACATGATGAGACAGTCAACTCGGTATGCTGTTCTTTTACAAACAGAGCACGCAACAGTACTCGCAGGCAAGCAAATATTGTTAGTGGAATGGTGTCGACTACCGGAGTTTAGTTGGGGACATTCTCTGCCTCTTCTTGCTTTTAATTATGCTGCATCTCTTCCTGCTAAACTCAGGGCTGGCGTGTTGTGGCGCAATGTGGTACTACACTGACATTGTGCAGTTTCAAATTGGGACTTGCCCTAAAAAAAGGAAAAAAAAAAAAAACAGAAATGCTGTAAATGCTTCTAATTGACATAAGCAGATCGTTCACTTTTATCTGTTTATCAGAAACGCCTGGAAATGGTTGTAATTTTAAATGTAAAGGCTACACATTTCTCGGCCCACCTACCCACTATTCCCCATCGGCTTTTGTTGTTATTGCAGTTTATTTCCTTCTCAAGAAGTTGAAGTTCTGCGTTCTCTGTGAAGAGTTCATTTATAAAAACATCAATAACAAAACAAACAAAAAAAACAAGCCTGTGGGCGTGGTTAGGAACGCTATCAGGTGATCGCCAGGAAAAATGAAGTTGCTGTTGCCTTCTGACATTTACATTTCCAAATGTGCCCACTTGTTTCGGTGGCTGTGACACACATTGGTAAGGAAGCACGGGTGTGGGCGTGGGGGTTCTGCGGCTGTTTTAAAGACAAAATGGGACACCGTGATGGGACTGTTGACGGCGGAGTTTGTGCAGCTGTTTTAGCGTGATGGATCTATTATGTCGCCCATTACAAGATTAAATGATGGATCCCTCCCCACGTTCACCTTCCCAGCCTGCCACTAAATTGAAACCAGAGAAGGAAAGAAGGTGAGGGTTCCCTATGATTAGGGACGAGGTGGGACGGCCATTAATTTAAGAAGGAAGGGATGGATCGTCCGACGCCACGATGTACTATCCATCAAAAAAAAAAAAAAGGGGGGAGGGAGCAGTGTTGTCTTTACATCAGCCTAATTAGAATTCATCGCAAACACAGACTCAAGGACGCACTCCTGCCCCTCATAATTTTTGAGGAAATTTATTGTTAATAGAAGAGCCATTTTCTTAGTGTGGTTTTTTTTTTCTTTCCCCTTCCCATTACCACCTTATCAACCACACTGACTGTTCTTGACAGCGCGGGAAGTTTACCTTTGAGGTTGAAAGTTGGTACACACTCAACTGATTGCCAGCCAATCGCTGGGCACAGAGATAAACAACCATTCACACACACACACACACACACACACATCTAGGGACATTCTAGAGTGATCCGTCAACCTACCATGCATCATGTTTTTGGAATGTGGGTGGAAACCGGTGTACCTGGAAAAAACTCACACAGCACGGGGAAAACATGCAAACGCCACACAGGAGGGCCAGAGCCCGGAATTGAACCCCGGCCGGATCTCTGAAATGTGAGGCAGACGTGCTAACAGGTGCCGCTCCGTTTGATATTCTTCTTTAAAAAAAAAAACAAATTCAAAGAAGGAAAAACAAAAACAATCAGCTGCCATCTGTAGAAAACAAATAGAGAAACAAGCTAGACCTACAAATGGAGCCAAACAAACTAAATTATAGAGTTGTTCTGCTTCCCGGGGAATTGCACATAAATTGCTTTGATTTGTAGGAAAGGTATAATTGATGGATTTTCTTCTCACGCTTGTGAAAATGACTCAATTTAAACTTTTAAGCGCTCACATTTTTTTCCCCCCGCAATGATCAACGCTGGTTGCAATCAAAGTTGAAAATACTTTTTTATTCTTTTTTTGCCGCTCCTTTTAGCCTCGCAGGCGTAATGAGGTCAGATTTGTTAACAATTGTTTCTATTTCCCCTGAGTGGCTCGACACACTTTGTTGATTTTGTCTAATTGTGGGCTTTTTTTTTTTTCTTGGTCCTCGCCAGCTTGTGGCGGGTAGCGTGGTGATGGCCTTCGAGGAGGTGTGCCCGGATCGCATCGACCTGATCCACAAGAACTACCGCAAGCTGTGCAACCTGCTGGTGGATGTGGAGGAGTGGGGCCAGGTGGTCATCATCTCCATGCTGACGCGTTACGCCCGCACGCAGTTCATCAGCCCCTGGAAGGAGGTGACCGGCTACACACCATCTGCACCACGACGTTATTTTCAGAGATTCAGTCAATTCATCCACAGCGCTGTGTATTAAAAATGTGCCAAAATATTTTCTTATTGAGAAAAGTGCAACAACAACCAAATGTTTGATTTTTGGGGAAGTGCGCCATCAATAATAGATTGATGTTTGGGGGTTGGGGGTCCGAATAAATCATTTTAGGAAAGTGCAGTCGCGATAGTTTCTTTTAGATTATTTTTTTTTTTTTTTAAGTGCAGCATTAATTGTTGTCTGTTTAGAAAAGTGCATAGTTTGTTTTTGTGGGGGAGTGAAACATAGCTGTCTTCTTTTTTGGAAAGTGCAACAGTCAAGCAATATATTGTCTTCATTTTGGGAAAGAGCCAAATCACGAGTTCGGATTGTTTTTACAGTGGTGCGCCATCAATATCTTTTAAGAGAGTGCAGCAGAGATCATTTCTTTTTTGGTTCTTAGGAAAGTGCAGCATCAATAGTTTTTGTTGTTGTTTTTCGGAGAGTGGAATGTTCATTGTCTTCTTTTCTGGAAAGTGCTACATCACGACTCTGTTTTTGGGAAGTGCAACAAAACAAACAATAGATTTTTGGGGAAAGTGCCACATCCGGAGTTTCTATTCTTTTTGGGGAAGAGCAACGTCAATTGTTTGTCGTTTTACAAAAGTGCAACACAGCATCAAAGGATAATCATGAGTCTTTTGTGGGACTGCCACATCAGATTAGTGTATTATCAAGAGTTTCTTCTTTTTTGGAAGGTGCCAGGGGAAAAAAAATAGTTTGGAAGCAGTTAAGTTTGACATACTGCCGAAAGCACTCTGCTAGCTATGGCATTCATCAGCTAGAGACTGAGATGCACTGTGTATGTTTGTAAAAATTAGCGTGTGGCGAGGCCCTGAGGCAGTTCCACTTCCTTGTACTCTTACATTCCTACCTTCGACATTGGAAATGTGTTTTATTGAACCAAGTTTGGACACCTTCGAAAATTCAGTTGCATTCTTTAAACAAAGGATTTGTCAGCGACAATTGTTGATATTAAGTGCCTTTGTGTGTTTGACTTGTCACGGCGGCGCCCAGGGTGCCGTGTTTGTGGAAAACGATGACAAGACCTTCTACGACTCGGACTCTGAGGAGAAAAAAGACCCAGCGGAAGAAAAATTTTGTCTCAAAAGAAAGTCTGTAAGCTTATTGCTCACATAGCATAAAGACGGAAATGAGCATAGATGTGAAGAGTTAGTATAAACCTTCAACCAACTTCTACTTTAACACATGGAACACACACATAGTATGCAACATTACTCATACATATATTTTTCTCTCCGCGTAATGTGAAAAACACACAAATGTTCGTTTAAAAAAGATGTGTGCAAACAATTAACCTGTGACAAAAGTCACCCCACACGACTCGCGCTTCCAAATCCACACGCGTAGACAAACACTTCTCAGCAATGATGTATTCCTGGGCTGCCATTTTGTCTAAACACAAAGGCACATGGACAAACCGGTAGCTGTCACAAGATGGCCACACACGTCGAGCGCTTCTCCATCACGCGGAAGCCTCAAGGTCTCCTCGCCGCTTCCCAATGATTAAAAATGGGACAAGCACTGCGGTTTTCTTTTTTTTTGTTTTTCTTCCCCGGCGGCGGCGAAAAAGCAGCCACCTTCTCCATCTTTGTTGATGCCTCTACACGCAAACCCACACACACAGTATGTGCACTGCAATTCTGCAAACTTCGCATCAACACTTGTTTCAATGCAAATTCTCGTTTTGTTCCTTTTATTTCATTTTTGACAGTCAGTGCACATATATTTTCATGTGATCTATATCCGTATTGCTGTCATTTAGGGGTGTATATGTTTGCGAGAAAGCTTTTCTTTTTAAGAAACTGCATCAATAGTTTTTTTTTCAATGTAAATATATTTTTTATCAGTTTTCTTTTTGGGAAAGTTGATCAGTAGTTTTCTTTTTAGGAAAGCTCAACCTTTAGATTGTCTTCCTGTTGGGAATTTGCAACATCAGTTGTTTTCTTTTTGAGAATGTGCAACATCAATGGTTTGTCAGTAACAAACAAAAAAACATTGCGGTGAAAATGCGAGCGCACGGGACTAAGTGTTTGCTGTGCTTTGAGGTGGTGATGGCAGTGGCTCAGCTTTACTGGCACCTGGCGCCCAAACAGGAAGTCAACATGGTGACTAAGTCTCTGGTGCGCCTGCTGAGGAGCCACAGGTAAACATTTGAGCCCAGCTGTCCGCCCTCGATCGCCGGTTATTGATCGCTACTCTATCGTGTGCCGCAGAGAGGTGCAGTATGTGGTTCTCCAGAACATCGCCACCATGTCAATTCAGAGGAAGGTAAGTGCCATTCAAACGCAAGGCCACTTTAGTCGTTTTGTTTTGTTTTTTCTTCTGATTTTTCAATGCAAACAGGGGATGTTTGAGCCCTTCATGAAGAGCTTCTACGTCCGATCCACAGACACTACGCACATCAAAACACTGAAGGTATGATCCGCATTGGCAATATCTTTTTGCAGTGAATGCCGTTGGATCACAAACTATTGTTTTTGTAGCTGGAGATCCTGACCAACCTGGCAAATGAGGCCAACATCTCCACCATCCTGAGAGAGTTCCAGGTTTGGCTTCTCGTAGACGGTTTTTGGACGGGCGGCAGACCTTGACTTTGATTGTCTGAGCAGACGTACGTGAAGAGCCAGGACAAAGCCTTTGCGGCGGCCACCATCCAGGCCATCGGACGATGCGCCACCAACATCGCCGAGGTGACCGACACCTGCCTCAACGGTCTGGTGCTGCTGCTGTCCAACAGAGATGGTAAAATGGCCACTGTTGTTCTTCCTCTCAATAGTCTCCTCATTCTTACTCTTTCATTTCTTCGCTGGTTATAGTAGCAACTTCCAAATGTTTCTGATACAGATGGGGTCATACTGCAATTTTAGTCATTCTGATTCCAATATCGATCATTATGAAAACCAAAGGTCGCCGCCTTCAAATTTCTTTGACATGGGAGAAATCATGTTGTCATATTGCCTGCACCGTTTTGTGCAGAGGGCGTGGTGGCCGAGAGCGTGGTGGTCATCCGGAAGTTGCTGTTGACCCAGCCCACCCAACACAGCGAGATCATCAAGCATATGGCCAAGCTCTTTGACAAAATCACAGTAAGATGCCATGCGGATGTGATTTATTTAATCCATGTGCAAAGAGACGTGCTGCTCAATCCTCCCGGCTGGACTCCCGCAGGTACCCATGGCTCGCGCCAGCATCCTGTGGCTCATGGGCGAGTACTGCGAGCGCGTGCCCAAGATTGCGCCCGACGTGCTGCGCAAGATCGCCAAAACATTCACAACGGAGGAGGACATTGTCAAGCTGCAGGCCGTCAACCTGGCGGCCAAACTCTACCTCACCAACTCCAAGCAGGTATGAGGATGTCAAGCACAGAACAAAAGAATGTGTGCCTTTTTTTTTAAAAAAAATGGTGGTGGGTGGGGGGATTTCTTCTCTAGACCAAGCTGCTCACCCAATACATCCTCAACCTGGGCAAGTACGACCAGAACTACGATATCCGGGATCGCACCCGCTTTATACGACAGCTGATCGTGCCCAGCTGCAAGAGCGGCGCCCTCAACAAGTACGCACGCCGCATCCTTTTGGCACCCAAGCCCGCCCCCATGCTCCAGTCGGCGTTCAAAGGTACTTTGCACGAACCGGTCACAATAGCCGCAGCCACTTGACTGGATCTGCGTGATGAGTGCTGGGCGCCCATTTTACAATGATTATTTTGTATGTTTTTCTCGCGCTGCCGCTTTTTCAGATCGAGATCGTTTCCAGCTGGGCACGCTTTCTCACAGCCTCAACAGCAAAGCCACTGGATACCAGGAGCTGTCGGACTGGCCCGCAGTGGCACCCGACCAGTCCGTGAGAAACGTGGAGGTCATTGAGCCAGTAAGTTACTGGTCCCACAAATCCCCCCCCCCCCCA